ATTTTAACCTTAATATTAGATGCTGCGTTTTGAATGTCACTTCACTCGCTTTAAACTTAAAGAAATGACCTTCGATTTAGTAGCAGGTGGAAACAAACGATTTTTTCAAAGTGTATTTTCATTTCTTCCTTATATTTCTCAAGGGCTCCCCATCCCAAACCTCTGCCAAAATTTTGTGACCTTGTCCATTTCTATTTTGGGGCTATAGTTTACTATGATTTTTTTTTAAAGTTCATAGACATAACTTGTCTCGAGGAGCCCGGAGAACCTTAATAAAGATATCGGAACTGAAAATTTTGCAGGTTTAGCAACTGGTATGACTTTTCAGCAGGTTGATTGAGGAACTCTTTTTAAATTACCAGTTTCATGGACCCTCAGCGTAGCAAATGAAATAATGATCATCTATTACTACGTCAACTATCTGTCCTTTGTTGTTTCCTAAAATTCATATAGTTTCTCAAACTTATGTTTCAAATTTAGCTCTTATGAAGACCATCGATGAAACAAGAGTTACGACAACATTCTTTGCCCTGGTATTCAAAGGTGACGCAAACAAAAATTTGGCACTGGCTGGAAATGGAAAAGGAAAACCCATCAAAGCCGTAGTAAGTAATGTTAAATTCCATCTGATTCCTCTCTCCTTTGCTTGTCTATTCTCAAACCTTTCTATCTAGTAATCAGTATATATCGAGTCATTCTTATTTATTCCCATTTAATCAATTTATTTCATTTTTGTTAATCATTCATAATTTTTTTCCAAGGCTCCTCCTCAAAATAGCTGAGTACTATACGGGAAGCCTGCCTCTTTACTCTAAAGTAAATAAGAGCACTTTTCGATTGGATGACATGAAACGAAAATCAATGCTGTTAGCACAGCGCGGAGTGAGGCAAAACTTAAGTAATCCCGCGTTACTTTCGACACTCAATTAGAAATTGCTAACTACATGGACGAAACAGTTTCATTAGTATCCAAGGTTATAGCTATGTAAAGCAACTAGAGAAAAGAGCGTAATTCAACCATAGAGATGAAATCTTTAAATTCAAAGCAATTTTCAATTCAGGGAATACCACTGGCGCTGCAGACTCCAGACAACTCCATCTTTGAGCCTGACTACTTCTGGAGCTATACGATGTTCAAACAACGTAACAGCGACTACTATCTGGGATGTGATGCTAAAGGAAATCTAACTCTGGTTGAAAATTGGAACCCGCAGTATCCGAATCCTCAAGCTCTTTTCATTCTTAATAAACCAGATAAATCTGTCTGAGAGAGCCAAAGATCTGTTGAGCATTTCAACCTAGTTGGATACAAAATAGAAAGAATTCAGTTGGAAAATGTTGAATTATCGTAAGTTCTTCTAAAAGTAATCAGAGCATTAAACTCTAATAGCCGAGGCTTTCCCAGTAATTTTTTGCATTGTAAAAATAATTTGTTGATGACTTTTTTTTAATGTGGTAGTTCGTCATAATTAAGATCAGAAAATATCATATCAGTATCCCCTGGTTGCTAAGGCTGGCGTGAAAGCTGGCTGCTCTAATGTCTTGCTCTTTAGAAAAACGACTATGTTTTAATCTTCATAGACACAAAAAGACGAATTGGAAAAATATTTACTATTTGTAAGTTTTTCAAACGGTAATCAGTACCTGTAATCTCCTTTAAACCCCAATAACGCGGGTCTTCAAATTAATTCCTGAGATTAATGGAATTTGTAGTTGATTCTTTGATGTTGTACCCCGTCATCTTGTTGCAGCAAGGAAGACCAGGTGATATTATTATCTATTTGTTTATTGCAAAAATGATTTCACCTGTGAAAGAGGAAAATTTCCCTAGATGACTTTTAACTCTTAGAATTCTTCGAGTCGGTGGCTTACGTCCGAACCGAACAGCTTGCAGACTCATATTACTGCATTTGAGCCGATTTTAAAATCTAGACTTGAACTGCAATGACCTTTGTAGTCTACCTATTATAATAAACCTCCAAAAATTTAGACGATTATGTGTGGTCTTTTTCTATTTAATGGGTTAAAATTACTAAGTCAAATACTTTCTCCGTAAAACTAAAATTCCTATCCTATGCAAGGAGTGAAAGGGAAAAGATAATTCGGCTGTTCAAGGTCGAGATAATTTCACTTTTCTTCCTGAATGCAGAGGCTCTAAAATTCAGTGAGGGATCTACACGAACATGAGCGCTTTTGTGTTTCTTACCAATTTCGGGCTGTTGATTGGTCACCCTCCTAACCTTTCAGCAGTACAATAAGCAGATCGCCCCGCGCACGTTGACAGAATTAAGATACAGCCTTGAGGCGTGAGTAGTCCAGTGGTCAGTGCGCTGGACAG